GGGGGGGGTGGGGGGCTTGAGAAGAGATTGCTGTTAGTGACCCCCCCATCTTAGTGTCCCAGAGAGGAGCAGGATTTGCACACCCCTTATCCAGAAGCTCTACAGCCGACAGGCTCTGCCTCTCAAACAGTCATGAAGCTTCTCTCTTGGATGAGTGCCATGACCCTCCTGCTCTCCTTCAGCGGCGCGGAGCTCCACAGGTGAGTGGCAGATGCAGCAGATGTCTCCACTTCTGCATATACAATTCTTCAAATGGCAAAGCCCAGGCAGATCTGAAATCAATTACAAGCTATTGTCCATATGAGATTGCTGGACTGATCCTCTGTTCTCAGGCCTAACAGCGTTACATGTTCCTGTTTTTACATAGTGAGTCTTCTTGTCTCTCATTTTGTTGTATGAAGCTTTTGGTCAGAAGGCAACAGGTTCAGGTCGATACCTACGGGGGTTCTGGTGCTTTCAACATGAACAAGAAAGCGGGCAGTTTTGTAAATGTGAGCACTTTCATTTATTAGCTTCTCTAAACCAGTGAAACCAGATGAAAAGGCAGATGTTGACCGTGATTTCACGTGTGGTAAATTGCGAAACGGCACTTTATCGTTAAGGCAGTTGAAAGGTGTGGATTTCCTGCGCATAGCTGAGATTCAGAGGAGCCTGTGGGTGTTTTAAGGACAGACAGGTCTGGGGTGCACCTCCTTTTACGATGCCCATGTCCTGGTGGCTGCTCCGCAAGATGCCACGCTAAATGCGGCCAGGCAGCTGTCAGGACAGTCAGCGCTCTGCTCCGCTGGGCTATTCTCGTGCAGTTCAGACAAGTCTCAGATTCCCCCTCCCCACTGCGCGCCCAGGTCCCCTGTGGGCCCCCCGCTCATTTTCGGAAGTGCTGACAGAATGCAAAACATCTGGGACACCCAGAGTTTCACATCATGTTGGCTGGGGGTCAAGGAGTTCATGGGACACTGCATTGTACCTGCATGCCATGGTCTAATTCCATGGGACAGTCTCTATCATCTCAGACTATCCAATGTCTTATTACTGCAGTAGAGGGAATAGAATAGGAGCTCTTATTATCACTGATATAAAAATCAACATGATTTCTTATATTCATTGGATCTGTACTGTCAATACACATAGTAATGAGGTACTGATTTTTGAAACATGTTCTGCAATGCAATTTAAACAAGTTATACTTCACAGCCCCAGTTATTTAAATGGAAGGCGAGGCAAGTGGGATTTATTTAATGTTCTGGTGAGACTGGTGAATGAAATGGAGTGGGAGGAGCTTGGGGAGAACCCCAACCCCCCCCCCCCCCCCCCCCCCCCCCCCCCCTCCCCCCCTTTCTTCTGGGGTCTTTTTTTCCCTTTTTCTCTTTTTTTTTTCTCCTTTTTTTCTC